AGCCTCCTGCAGGTCACAGCTCCTGCTGTGCTCTCTTGGTCCTTCCTTATCTGCCCTCTGGCTCCTCATCGACAGATTTGTAGGTTGTCCATGTGGTCTGTGGTTTCCCTGTCGGTTATGAAGAGAAAATGTGACACAGGAAATCGTGTGACAAATCGAGTGGCTGTTGGGGTCAGGCTGTTAGATTTATTGTGCCACTTTGGTGGTTCTGGGCAATCCAGCCCTTCCACCACGGAAATCCCCAGTGGCTTGTTAGCATCCCTGCCTGAGTAAGGAGTCTTGTGCCTCCCTGGGGTTCAAGGGGCTCCAGCAGAGCCAGAGTTTTATTCCCTAACCTGCCAGTCACCTCCTGCAGGGGAAGCAAAAATGTGAGCAGAAGCTGCTTGGGAAGGAAGTGCAGAGGGAGCAGCAGGAGCTGGTGTGAGGTGGAAGGGACCTTCAAGACCATCTAGATCCAACCCCCTGCATGGGCAGGGACACCTCCCACCAGCCCAGGTTGTTCCAAGCCCCATCCAACCTGCCCTTCAGCACTTCCAGGGATGGGGCAGCCACAGCTTCCCTGGGTGGTGTCCTTTCCCTGGGATGCAGGCGGGATCCCTGACTGTGTGGACAGCCCTCCCTTCCCTTTGGCTGTGCAGTTGGCAGAGTTTCCCTTGGCTCTCAGGATGCTGGAGAATGAAGCAGGGTTTTGGGGAGATGTGTTGGTGAGAGTGGAGGAGTCAGGGACTCTGTTGTCCCCAGGTGCTGGATCTGGTGCTCAACTTCAGAGTCCCTTCCTCTAACGGAGCTGAGCTGGAAGCATCTGGAACCCACCTGGATGTGTTCCTGTGGGATCTGCTCTAGGGGATCCTGCTCTGGCAGGTGGGGGTGGACTAGATGATCTTCAGAGGTCTCTTCCAACCCCACCACTCTGTGATTCTTGCTCATGCTCTTTGCAGGAGCATCCTTGGGCAATCAAGCTCTTGTGCTAATTTCTGCTGACCTAAATTCTACTCTTTGTTTTGGGCCACATCCTGCTTTGTGCTCCATTTCCCACCCTCCACTTCCAGCTGGCCTTTGGCTTAGCTAAATGCTCACTGCAGTCCTTCTCCCAGCAGGGGCTGGGTGTTCCCTGGGGGTTTGCTTGGGTTTGGGAATCACTGAGGTGTCCTGGAACCTGGATTGAAGGGATCCCCTGGAATCCAGGGTCCCTGTGCTGTGTCCCTCGTGTGTGAGGCCACTCTGGGGTCGCACAGGATCATGTTGAATTCACAGCTGGAAGCTGGAGATTAATCTGAGTATCTGACTTATTTTGGGGGCAGGGAGGTTCTTGGGCTGTGATAAAGCTCAGCATTTAATTAACTCATTATAAAAAGACCTGATTTGCCCCAGCACATGGCAGAGCTCAACCAGGGCAAGAACCGCCCTTTCCTTGTCTGGCAGTCGTAGGAATTTGTTTCTTGGGCTAATTCTGAGTGTCACTTCGCCCTGTTAACTCAGCAGATACTTTCTAAATAGCTTTTGTGTGCCAATTATTGTGGGTTTTTATCCAGAATTGCCTGGAGCCTTTCCCCTGCTTGGCCAGGCAAGGGCTCTGCAAGAGGCAAATGTTCTGAAGATGCTGCAGCTTGTACCTAATGAGCCTTGTCTCTGCCTGGCACAGGACGGGCTGTTAATTAAAGATGAGAAGACCAAACATTACACAAACCCAAAAATAACTTCTTAATTGATCAGTGGTGATTTATTATTGTGCTTTAAAGGTAGGGAGGAAAAAACATAATAAAAGAATATATCAGAAATACATGCAAGGGCAGGTTGGATGGAGCTTGGAGCAACCTGGCCTAGCAGGAGGTGTCCCTGTCCATTCAGGGGGGTTGGAACCAGATTATCTTTTAAAGTCCCTTCCAACCCAAACCCAGTTCTGGGATTCTATGATCAAAAATTATAAATAGTTGTAGTTTCTGGAGTCAGCTGTTGTTTATGGGTTGGGGGTGACCTGTGTGTTGGCTCCAGGGTCTTGCTGCCTGGAAATCTGATGAAGTGACCTTAAGGTTAGCACTGAGCTGCTGCTGATCTGCATCTCTTTTGGATCCTGGAGTCAGGGAGGGAGCAACATTCCCCCTTTTTATTTCTGCTGGTTAGGAAGTATGTGTGTGCACACATGTACCAGTGCAGACTTTGCAGGGTACCCTCCACCATCTAGCACAGAATGAACAATATATGTAAGCCCTGTGGAAATCCATCAGTAAATAAAAGACCTAAGTCCTGGGCTGACTCAAGCTGTGCCTCTGAAGCTGGGCAGGCTGGACAGCCTTATGGTGACTTCTCCACTGCTTTCCACCTCACTCCCCCAGGCTGTTTTCCTTGTTGTTTTCTGGGATGAGCCCAACAAAGGCAGTGAAAGGAAGGATAAGGAACATGTCCTGTGATCATGCGGCAGAGCTGTTTGTGATGCAGAGAGCACACAGTTGTGTGTGTAGGAGGTGTTCAGATGCATTAAGAACCATTTATGGGCTCTTTAAGGGCAGAATGACTGGGGAGTAATTCAAGCTTCTGGCTGAAGAAGTGTATCTTGATTCAAAGCCTTCTGTGAGGAGGAGAAATGAGGACTGAGCCTCCTCCAGCAGCTCTTGGGCATGAAGTGCAGGACCCAGAAGTACTGTTAAGGCTCAGGGGTTCACCTTTACCTGATCTGAGCAGGTGAGAGCCCAGCCTGATGGTCTGGAGCAGCAAGATCTAGTCTTGCTGGCTGTACTGGCTGTAGTACCTGCTGAGGGGGCAGAGGGTTGCAGAGCACTTGTGAAGGGAGCCTGAGATCTCCCAAGAGGAGCTAGAGCATGATGAGAGGTTTTGGTGAAAGGGCTGGGATGCTGAGTTCACTCAAGGGCTGTGTCAAGGTGGAGGAAGGTTCAGGAGGGAGCTGGGCTCTCCCAGCCTATCAGCTGGATGGAAGGGCTGTGGTCAGCCAGGGGAGGTGTTCCCAGGGAGGTCACTGTGCACTGCAGGGACTCTCACTCTCCCAGTGTTCTCAGTTCAGTCTTTTTAGTTTTGTACCCTTTTGTGTAAAGAAAGGACACCTTGAAAATGTGCCTCCTGTAGGCCTGGGGTTTAGAGTTTGTCTCCTTTCCTTGTTTGATGAGACAGCTTCCAAGCACAGAATGAGTTGTGAGAAAAGCCTGCTGCTTCCAGCCACTTCCTGTGCTTACCCAGATTCTCCCCAGGCCATCCTGGTTGCTCCTCTGCCTCCCAAAATAGCTCTGTTGGTTTATGTTCATTGTGGGGTGGGGGAAGGCCAAGTCACCACCTGTCCCCAGCTCTGCTGTGTGTTCAGATCATAGAACCACAGCATCATTTAGATAGGAGAAGACCTTTTAAGATCCTTGAGTCCAACCTTGTCCACACCCCCTGGACCCTTCCTGGCACATTCAGGACTCACACCCAGTAACTGGCCCAGGCAGGGCTCTGAATGGTCCTTTCCTGGCCAGGTTTGGCTTTGTTGGAGGATGTAGTCCCTGTGCTCTGCTAATTGTGCTCAGATAGTCAAGGGCCAAATATTTATTGCCCTAAATAAATAAATGGAGCAGTTTAACTGCTCAGCTGGCTGATAGGGGCCACACCAGGCTGACTGGAGTTGTTCTTGGAGGTGGGAGTGACCTGGTGACTGTCAGTGGGATGAGAGTGAGAGGGGAAAGCAGATGTTGGTGCCCAGAGGCCTGGCTGATGGTGTCAGTACAGCACCCAGAGGAGCTGCCTGTGCAGCAGAGGTGCCTCCTGCAGGTGCACCCTGCTTTGTTGGCACCAGGGTTTTACATTCTCACTGGTGGCAATGTGGGCGTTGAAGTGTCCCTGTGGTCTTCAGCCTGGCCAGGTGACAGCAGTGAAAGCTGCAGGCAACCTCTTCCTCACCAGTTAATTCCTTGTGAAAGCTGCTAATGGACATCTTCTGGTTAGAATTTTAACTCTGAAGTAGCAACTTGCCCTTATTCAGTGACTGCAGTGCTGGAGGGAAGGGGGGGGGGTGTTTGATTGTGAGGGAACCTCAGTCTTGCTTGGACACTGCAACTCCCCTCAGTGCTGCTGAAGTGGGACCTCTGAAGAGTGCTCCTGTTGCTGCTGATACTTTTATACTGAAATACCTTGAATTGTGTCTTCTAGCAAAAGGAGCAGCACGTCTGCAAAGACAAATCTTCCGTCGATGGAGCTTCTGGGACAATGTTCCTGCCAGCAGCTTTCCTGCTGTCGGGAGGTACAGCACTCAGACAGCAGAGAGCAAGGAGGAGGAGCCCCTGCACACCATCATCAGTGACACAGAGAATGTGAAAGGTGAGCAGCAGCAGCATCTTGTAGGAGCTCCCTTGGGGTGCAGGCAGAGCCAGGACAAGGTCTGGGTGCAGTTGTGCCCTGACTCTGAGGGTGAGCCCTCTGCAGTGTGTTTCAGCCTCTGGAGGGGGAAGACATGGTGACCATTGTGCTGGTACTCCAGCCTTTGACTGCCCTGAGATTTGAGGAGCAGGAGATGAGGGGCAGGGACCAATGCTCTGCTGAGCAAAGGGTGCTGCCTCATGAGGCTGTGTGAACAGCACCCTTATTGCCATCCTGTGGGAGGCCACAGCTCCTGTGTCCCATCCTGCTTCAGGCTTTCTTTCCTGGGAAACTGAGGCACATGGTGAGACTGCAATTTTGCCTTCCTTCCCAGGAGGACCTGGAGAAGTGCCTGACAGTTGTGTTTGTGGCTTTGTTCTAGGTGCAGCCTCTAAGCATGAGTTTCAGGCTGAAACAAAGAAACTGCTGGACATCGTTGCCCGTTCCTTGTACTCGGAGAAGGAGGTGAGGCACCCACTCCTTGCTGGTGGTTTTCTGTTGGCCAAGCCCTGACACCCAAAACAGTTGAGTTGGCAGGATGCCTCCTACTTCCCAACAAGTCCTGTGATGCTCACGTGCCATGCTTTCTTGAATACCAATTTCTTGAGACACCTTGAAAATGTGCCTTCAAAAGAGCTCGTAAGCGTGGCTGGGTGACTGGGTGAGCCTCACGCTTCAGTACTGAGCCACAGCATCCCAGACTGGTTTGGGTTGGAAGGGACCTCAAAGATCATCTAGTTCCAACCCCCTTGCATGGGCAGGGACACCTCCCACCAGCTCAGGTTGCTCCAAGCCCCATCCATCCTGCCCTTGAATGTCTTCTTATGTATTCACATTTTTTGTCTCCCTGCCTTTAAAGCACAATAATAAATCACCAGCGATCGATTCCCAAGTAGTTCAGACCAGCTGTTCTTTCAGCAGATCACGAGGAAACAGTTAATTTTCCAGCAAGCTGGGGATTAGTTTGTGAGTTGACAATGCCAGGGTGGACAAGGCCAGGCTGCTGTGTCAGGTTGTGCCTCATCCCCAGGTGTTTATCCGGGAGCTCATCTCCAACGGCAGCGACGCGCTGGAGAAGCTGCGCCACCGCCTGATGGCAGAAGGGAAGGCCTTGCCAGAGCTGGAGATCCATCTGCAGACAGACAGCAAGAAGGGGACCATCACAATCCAGGTACCTCCCTTTTTGGTGACAGGAAAGCATTGTTCCCTGCTGCTCTCATCACTAGTCCTTGTCCCGTGGAGGATCCATGGGAGCTGAGTGGCAGCGTGGATTCCCAAGCCAGCCTGTAGAAATGTTCAGTCCTCAGCTGGACTCTGGTTCATGAGGCTGTAACCTCAGGATTTTATGAGAAACTACCAATCTGCTCTCCACTTGTCCCCATAGGAAAATTTTCTGCTCCTTCCTTCCTCATCAGGAACTACTAGTAGCTTTTCTCCCAGTACCTTGTCTGGTGCACTTGCCACGTTGTGTGTGCATTTCTCACTGGTGGAAAAGTTGGGAGGCTGGTTTCATTCTGACCATTGTGCAGGGTTTCCCTCACCTCCCTAAATCTGAGGTGTTAGATGGTGGCTCACAGACCTTCCCTGTCACCTCAGTCACTGGGAGATGCTGGGGTGGTGAGAAGAACCTCCCATTGCTGATGATCTCCTCCTGCTCCAGGACAGGACAAGTGCAGCTCATGCTGGGGCTCTACCCTAGTGTACAGCTGGGTCTACAGGTTGTGGAAGTTCCATTGCACTTCTGTGTCCTTCCTGCAGCCCTGCTTGGGACTGTTCCCTGCTTTGGACTGTTCCCTGCTTGGGACTGTTCCCTGCTGGTGAGGAGAGAGGATCAGTGTAAGCTTACTCAGTTGTGGGCCTCAGCAAGGTGGGGGAAGATGGAGCCAGCCCTTCTCTCTGCACTTTGATTGCTCTTGTTCTTTGCTGTTATCCAGGGTGAAAGGCTGAGACTCAGATTTGGTGTTTTCTTGGCAAAATTCTTAAGCCAAGAAGACAAACTAGTAACTTTCCTGGTGGACCAGTGTGTGGGAGGGCTGACCATAGCAGGTGCAGGGTAGATGTGGCACAAAGGGCACAATCTGACCTGCTTCAAGTGGGACAAAAAGCAGTGGCTGTCAGAGGCTGATTAGTTATGTTATACTTCTGTTTCTGTGCACAACAAGCAGCTGTGGTTGCCATGGGAAAGTTAGTGCTCACCAGTGGGCAAGACAATCATCAACCAAAGACTCTCAGCCTGTAATGCAGAGGCTTTGCTATTCCTGTCCCACCTGACTGTTGCATTTTTCCCACTGCTGTGTAACAGATTCTTTGCTGAGCTCTGGTGTGACCCCAGGCAGGGTGTCATTCCTGCCCTGCTTTCCCTTTTCAGAGAATCATGGAATGGTTTGGGTTGGAAGGGACCTTCAAGATCATCCAGTTCCAACCCCCTGCATGGGCAGGGACACCTCCCACCAGCCCAGGTTGCTCCAAGCCCCATCCAACCTGCCCTTCAACACTGCCAGGGATGGGGCAGCCACAGCTTCCCTGGGCAACCTGGGCCAGGCTCTCACCACCCTCACACTCAAGAATTTTCCTCTTACTGTCTTACCTAAATCTCCCCTCTTCCAGTTCAATCCATTCCCCCTTGTCCTCTTACTACAAGCCCTTGTCCAAAGTCCATTTTTACAAGCTTGGAGACCATAGTGAAGAAGTAACCCCTGACTCCATCAAGACATTCTTACCAGTCATGCCCTCTCACTCTGGCAGCTTCTCCCCTTCTCTGGCAGTTGGGTTGAGACACCTGCTTGCCCCTCTTGCAAAGAGGATGTGTTTGAGGTCATACCCAATGAGATGTGTTGGGGATTGATCTTTTTATATCCCCTACCTGCCTGCCTGGGCTTCTCTAATGGGACTAAATGAGTCTTAACTAGGAGCTTTGAGCAGCAGCACTGCTCTGTGAGCAGGCAGAGGGGACTGCTCTGCTCCAATCTCTTTTAATAGATTTGACTTCTCAATAGTGCCTAAAGCTCCTTACTTCCAGTGGAGGGTTTATTTATAACCCCTGGAAGGAACACACTGCAGTTTTCTTGGAACAAGCCTCGTGCAGAACATTTCCCTGCCTTTCAGGAATGCAGAAGTGCAAGAAAACCTGCCTGCAACGATTGAGGCAGAGATGGACCTGCCCCTTGGTCACTGTTTTGTGTTCTCTACCCACTAGGAGCTACTGAAACAGAAGCAGCAGGTTGATCAGGTGATCTGTAGCAATGGTCACCTCAGGTTTTTCTAGAAAGGTTCTGTTGCCTCCCTCTGACCCCTGGGTCCTTTTCCTCAGTTCTTCCTGCTGCTCTAGGCCCTTGACTCTGCTGGATCTCTCCCCTTCCAAGCCTTGCTGCACCTCTTTTTGTCTCACCAGCCTGTCATGTGTGATGGGCTCTGCTGCAGCCAGGTGCCTGGGGAGGATGATCAGGCTCCAGTGAAGGGCAGTGTCCATCTCTTATTAAATGGCTGCAGTTCTGACTTCTCTGCCAGGACTGAACTTCAGGTGTGAGCATAGCAAGGCTTGGAATTCCAATACCACATCCTGATTCAGGGATATCCTGCCTAAGCATTGCCAAGTGTTGGATCTGATGAGAGGGAAGGGTTCCCTGCCTACCCCACTGGGTGACACCACCTAGCAAATTGCACCATTTCCTGGATCCCTTGGGAAACCACCTCCTTCTGTCTCTAGGACAGCTCCATCTGCAGAGCTCTGCACTCCTGCCTGCCAAGGCTTCCCAGCCATGCTTTTGGACCCTGTGAGGTGGGAACACAGACCCCAAAGTCCTGTGAGCACAGAGCTCTCCTCCTTCAACACCCACCCAAAGCTCCTTCAGGCCCCTGTGGTGCAGTAGGTGGTGTTGCTGCTCCTGGTGGTGACCCTGCCTGTGGGTGGGCTGGAGCTGTGTGTGTTGCTGCTGTTTAATTCAGGGCTAGGACAGTGCTAGCAGCTCGGAGGAGATGGTTTGAAATGTTTACAGAGCTAATAGCTGCTGCTGCTGGGGGAGGGAGCATGGCTGCTGGTTTCACAGGGGTAAGCAGCATAATTGCTGCCAGAGCTTGTGCTGCTCAGTTCTCTTTGTTGGCCTTTCTTCTTGGCTGTTGCAGTCATCCAAAATCACTGCCTGTGAAGCCACAAAATAACAAGTTGGCTGTGTTTGGGAGGAGTTAAAATGACTGCAAACACCACTCCTCCCTGCATCAGCTCCCTGTGTCACTGAGCAGATCTCTCCTGGCTGATGAGTTACAGTCTGCAAGGAGGACTGGGCTATCCTGAGGCTTCAGCTGAGATGTTTGGGGTTTATAGTTCAGTGCAGTTGCACCCACATGTCCAACCAAGCTTGATGCAGGTGGAAGCCCCCCCTGTGCTGCCAGGCAGCAGCAGTGAGAGGGCTACATCCTTAGCTGAGTGCAGCACTGCAGCTTCTGTCTGTCACTGGGGCTTGAAGGAGCAGGGGAGCAGGAGATGGGCAATCAGGCAAGGAGGGGAAACACTGGCTGTGCTTGGACAAGCCTCAGGTGGAATTGAGCTCAGAGAAATATGCCACTGGGTGGGATAGAGCTTCCAGTTGTTGCAGCATCTTGAAAAAATAAGCCAGGGCACCAGGAATATAAACAGATCTGCAATAACCCGTGGCCCAGGGAAGGAAGTGCAGAATCTTTTCTTCCTCTTTCTGCCAGAATAAGAGCATTGAGCATTAAAACATGGGAAATTCAGGGGAGTTAAAAGTAAGTACCTTCTGAGCAGTGGATGTTTAGAAGTGGATGGGTGGATGCTGAGGCTGTAGCTGGAAATAATGTTAACACAGGGCATTGGAAAGGGAAGGGAAAGGAAATGGAAATGTCAGGCTCTCTGCTTTGGACAGCTTCCCTGTACAAGGCCAAGATTACCTTGTGTCTGCAGCACTTGTGTCCTGCCTTTCCACCTCTGGTGGCTGCTGCTGCAGATGCTATTTTGGTTCTAAACCAGAAGCTGTTCCAGTGCAGCCATCCTGGTTTTGTGAATTTTAAATCTCCTTAAGCAAAGAGGGTTACACTCAATCAGACTTTTTGGGATTTTTATTACCTTCTTGGTTGGTGAAAGCAGCATGTCCTTATTTTATGACATAGTCAAGTGTTCTTCTGATGCCCCCGTGGAGGTTTTGCACTGAAATAAGTGCTTCGAGTGTTTATTTTGCAACAAAAGAAAAGGCCCTGTAGCTGAGACATGTACCTCTGGCTTCAGGCATCCTGTCAGATGCAGCCCTGGCAAGGGCAGCAATTCATGGTTAGTTCTCAAATTGTTTGGTGTAACAAAGCTCTGCAATACCTGAAATTGGACTCAGGTCATGAGCAAAGACATGACAATACCTGGGTTCTTGTTTACCAGCTAAACTGAGCAATTTGTTGACTTCAACCTAGATTCCTTGCTGGAATTGTGTGCAGTTTCTTGCTGCTTTACCAAAAAGTATATTAAGAAGAAGAGAACTGTGATTTGACTGATTTGATGAGACAGATAGTGGGGCTTAAAGTGTTCACTTACCCCTCTGTCAAGGAAGACAGAGGTCCTCAGGGCTGGGGAGCAAGCTGAGGATTTTGTGGGAGCCCTGATGTTCTCTGTGCCCAGCAGTCACCACAGGGAACAGGCCCTGGTGACCAGTATCCAGCACCCACACCACAAAAGTCAGAACAAAGGGCAGAGGGAGCACCAAGGTGCAGTTCCACAGCAGACTGTGTATCCAAGAGGGCTCCACACACAAAAAAAAAAAAGGTGCTAAAATCCATGTTTGACCCTCTGCCTCTGCAGGGGCAGTGTTACTTAGTTGAGAAGTTCAACAAGCATGGCCATGGAGCTCATGTAGTCCCTCAGAAGATGGGCTGCAGCCTGTTGTGCTGCCCTGCAGAGGGGATGGTTCAGGGGGAGGCTCTTGGCACCCTAAGAACTCCCAGAGGGGAAATTCAACCAAGTGAGTAAGATTGTTGTTCTGCTGAGTAACAGCAGGGCTGCTGTAATTAACCTTCAGCTAATGAGGTGTCAGTGCACTGAACTCTGTTTTATGGTGTACAGTGGCTGGTTTCTCCAAGCCTTTGGCACTCAGAACATGTCCCTCATGTCCTGTAGTTTGTGAAGCCCCATCTACAGTTTCCTTTGTGCTTTTACAAATCACTCTCCTGTAGCTGTTTACAGTCTGATCAGACTTTTCTTGCAGACTGAAAAGAGGGCTTGAAACCATCTGCAAGGGGAGTCAAGTTCATTGTGGAGCAACGGCAGCCCTTGCAGTTGTGCTCTCTGCTGGTGGGTGCAGAAGGTGTTTGCAGAGGTTGTGTGATGGAATGATGGTTCCTGGTGAGGAAGCTGAAGCCCCAGCAGCACAGAGGGCTGTGGGAAGGGCTGTGGAAGTCCCTCCAGCTTCTGCCTGGGATTTCATGGAGTTAGTTGCACCAGCTTCTCACCACTGCAGCAGGCTGCTGCAGAAGCCAAGGACCCATCTGGCCACTGCTGCTTCATTCCCAGTTCCTGGGAGCAGCACTGTCTGATGCAGGGAGCCAGGAAGGGCAGCCACCCTGCCAGAGCCCTCTGAGTCTTGATGGTTTATCCTAATCCATCCAGGTGTTTTCCTGCAGTAGGAAACATCTGCCCTGCCAGGATCTTCAGCCAGCCACCTCCAAGGCTGCTTCCTGCTCTCCCTGTCTCTCTGGGTGCTGCCAGGGGAGCAGAGACCTTTGAGCCCCCCTCTCTTTGTTGGTCCCAGTTCCTCCTCATCAAACGAGGCTCCAGGAGTTGTCATCAAGCATTTTGCAATAAGTTTGGCAGAGAGTTTAGAATTCAATAGCCAAATAAATTCATGGGATAGGGATATGTGTTTTTTTAACATGCTGGAATTTGGGAATGACATGCTGTGCTATAAATAGGAGTGGATCAGAGGAATTAAGAGTTCTGTTCAGGGTCTGGCATGAGCAAAACCTGAACCAGATGCTGAAAACTTTTGTTTCTGGCTTTTTCTTCCCTGGGGGAAGAGACCATGTCGGATTCCTGAGATTTTGCCATACCCTGTTTGTTTTTCCTGGCTTTTCATCTCCCACTGTTGATACCTTAGCAGGCATCATCCCTCCTCTCATCCAAAAGGGACAATATTCCATCAAGGGGAAGGTGTTGCTGTGCTGTGACACATGGGGAGGCACAAAAATGTCTTGCCCACATGGCACCTCACTCAGTCACCTCCCAAGCTGCCCATAGTTTGATCCTTCAGTGGATTAAAACACCAGATTAAAAAAATATGTACCAACATGGACTTAATTTCCTAGCACAAAAGCCTTCCAGATGCCCCATGTGAGGAGTGGAGATGTGCTGTGCCAGAAGTCACTCTGGCATCCCAGCTCCAAGCTGTCTAGCAGCAGCCACTTCCTCTCTGGCTCTTTTTGCTGAATCCCACCTCTGGATTAGGAGCCCTGGGATGTGCAGCCCAGCTCTGGATGTGGAGGCTGCTGTACCTGGGAGAGCTCTGCTCACAGGTGCTTGAGTAGAGCTGAACTCCTCACACCAACAAGAATCACCTCTTACTTGGCTGATTGTCATGCTGCTGCCATCTCATGGAGTGGCTCAGAGAACCTTTAAGAGTGTCTTCTTGGAATGTTTCTGGCAGGTGGAGAAGCTGCTGGGATTTGGGAAGGGGCACTTGCTTTTCAGATGTGGCTCCCCAGAGGGCATCAGGCTTCACTTTGCTTCTGTGGGAGCTGCATGTGGAGCAAGTCTGGAAATACATTGTACAATAAAGTGGGAAAGATTTGGTGTCCTGTATGAGAGAGTGGCTGTTTCTGGCTGGGCTTTGCTGTTGTCTGGGGCTGTGCAAGTGCCTGGTGGCAGCTGGGGGTGCCCCTTGGAGCTCTGAGCCCTCTGTCCTGACCATGTCCTGGTGGAGGCAGAGCAGGGCTCTGGGCTGCTGTTGTGGGCACTGCCCAGCTGGCTGGGAGAGAGTGGAAGTCAGAGGCTGGGGTGCTGGTTGCTGAAGCAGTGCTTCTCCACTGGTGTTTCCACTCAAATTGCTGTTTCTTCTCAGGACACAGGTATTGGGATGACCCAGGAGGAGCTGGTTTCTAACCTGGGTACTATTGCTCGCTCAGGCTCAAAGGTAAGCTGGGATGTGGTGCCCCTTCTGCTCCCCCCTTAGAAAAGTCTTCTCCAATTACAGTCACTTTTGTTCTCCCAGTAATTTCTCATTCTGTGGTGTCCCTTGGCCTCAGCCCAGCTGTGAAATTACACCCCACTTGGAAGGTGATACCTTCCCATGGAGTCTTCTGTAGCTCTTAATGATCTCTGCTGTGAGCTGAGGGAGGCAGCTCTAAGGGGCCCCGTGTGTAATGCTGCTGCACCTGCCTGTCCCCCCTGCCACAGCCTGTGCCCTCCTTCCCAAGCCATGGCTGTGGAGGGACATTCACCCTGTGTCCAGCAGGGCAGGAGCTGTGTCCTCATGTTGGCAAGTTGTTACATGTATCATAGAATCATGGAATGGTTTGGGTTGGAAGGGACCTTAGGGATCATCTAGTCCCAACCCCCTGCATGGGCAGGGACACCTCCCACCAGCCCAGGCTGCTCCAAGCCCCATCCAACCTGCCCTTCAACACTGCCAGGGATGGGGCAGCCACAGCTTCCCTGGGCAACCTGGGCCAGGCTCTCACCACCCTCACACCAAAGAATTTCCTCCTCATGTCCAACCTCAATCTCCCCTCTGCCAGTTTTCATCCATCCCCCTTGTCCTCTCCCTCCCTGCCCTTGTCCCAAGTCCCTCCCCAGCTTTCCTGGAGCCCCTTCAGGCACTGGAAGGTGCTCTAAGGTCTCCCTGGAGCCTTCTCTTCTCCAGGCTGAATATCCCAACTCTCCCAGCCTGGCTGCAGAGCAGAGCTGCTCCAGCCCTCTCACCATCTCCATGGCCTCCTCTGAGCTCTCTTCAGGAGCTCCATGTCCTTCTTGTGCTGGGCACCCCAGAACTAGACACAGTTCTCAGGTGGCATCTTACAAGAGCAGGAGCAGAGTAGAAGTACAGGGACATATATGTATATATATGTTCCTGTATTTTTTTTCATCTCTGGAATCAATA